GCCATACCACTCATGGAAACTGTCAAGAAGAATGTAGGATTTCGATGGGGCGTTGAACAAAAACATGCATTTAATACTATTAAAGATAAATTGTGTAAAGTACCAGTTTTAGCACTTCCTAACCTTGACAAAACTTTTGAGATTGAATATGGTGCCTTAGGGGTAGGTATTGGAGCTATTTTAATGCAGGATAGAAGGCCGATAGCTTACTTCAGTGAAAAGTTAAGTAGACCAGCTCTCAATTATCCTAAATATGACAATGAGTTATATGCATTTGTTCAAGCTTTGGAGACATGACAACACTACATATAATCAAAGGAGTTCATGATTTACACCGACCATGAATCCTCAAAACATCTGAAAGGTCAAGGTAAGCTAACCAAGAGGCATGCAAGGTGGATAGAGTTCATAAAGATATTTCCATATGTTATTAGGTATAAACAAGGTAAAGAAAATGTGATAGTTGGTGCATTATCAAATAGGTATGTACTTTTAACCTCTTTAAGTGCTACATTGCTAGGATTTGAATATATTAAGGACATGTATGCTACTGAACCAGATTTTTCCAATATATAGGAATCATGTGATAATTAAAGGTACTATGGATAAATGTTTAGGCGTGATGGTATTTATTTCAAGAAGACAAGTTGTGTGTTCCTTAATGTTCAATGAGAAATTGTTACTAAGAGAAGCACATAATGGAGGTTTAATGGGACATTTTGAGGTTAAGAAAACCTTAGAAATGCTAAGTGAACATTTAATTGGCCTAAGATGAAAATTGGTGTTGATCGGGGTTGTAGTAAATGCATCACTTACAAAATGGCTAAGTCTAAGGTTTTACCACAGATTTGTACATACCATAACTTGTTCCTAGTGAACCTTGGGTTGACATATCTATGGACTTTGTATTAGGTTTACTAGGACTATGAAATGACGAGACCATATATGTGGTAGTAGATAGATTTAGTAAAATGACACATTTCATTCCATATAATAAAACTGATGGTGTCACTATCACTGTGGATTTATTCTCTAAAGAAGTACTGTGCTTACATGAGATTCCTAAGACCATAGCATCGGATAGGGATGTTAAATTCCTTAGTCACTTTTGAAGTTTGGAATCAGTTAGGCACAAAGTTATTATTTTCTACAATTTCTCACCCACAAACCGATGGACAGACTGAGGTAGTCAACA